CCTTCACTTGGCTATACTTTTTGCTGCCGTCCCGAGGATGTAGCCAAGGTTATTGATTATTTTCCTCTACATGATGATAACATTGAATCAATAACCATTAGCAGAACATTAGAATCTTTGAATATGGACGAAAATGAAAGGGACCCTGAATGGTATTCTGATGAATAAACAATGAAAAAATAATCCATAATTCATTGTATCCAGCGAACATAAGTTAAATGGCTACTTTAAGCTCTGCGGGGTTTTAATAAAATGTTTCGTTTTTAAAATGTTCGATTTGCATTAGAGTAGTTTGAATGTAAGCATGCATATGTACATATGTATGTACACTGAGAAAATGATAGGGGTAAAACGCATTTAGGCTCTGGGAAGAGTTGTCTATAAAAAAAGATTCTTATGGGTTTTTGAATAGTAATTTAAAATTTGCTTATGATAAATAAAGGATCAGACTAGAGTGAAGAAAAATCAGCAGGACTTCCTTGGAAAAAAGGCGAAAATATACATACATATACATACATACAGTGACTTACATAGGTGACCACTTTTAACTTACCACACACATTTAAACTTTTTTGTTATTTTTCTATAAAAATATTGTCGAAGCTTTAACCAAATTTTCGTCAAAATTTCAAAGTTTCAAACTTGGGCATGCTGTTTACAAAAGTAAACTAAGTAGTAAGGATTACTAAAGTAAATAAATAGTAAGGATTAGACTTATTTACTTAACAGTTTTTATTTTTTTTTGAATTATATCGTTATTGCAGATGACCATCGATATGCAAGTATGTATATAAATTTAAAATGAAAGAGAAAAGAACTCGCGCGCCATTGATCATGCTTCGGTTTTTGATTTTTCTACATGTCAGTCTTCGGCTTATAATTACTCTACATATGTATATTCATACAAAACATGCGGTATCCTAGTAGCACTATATTCAAAGTACATCCATGTTCCTTGACCTTCACGACTGGTCCACTGTTTTTATTGAAAAATAAGTAAGCAGTGTAATAACGGTTTTAGAAAAAATCATTTCATAGTTGCAACTCAGCACTGAGGGCGATAAAATAGTTCATAAGGGGCACGAGAGTGCAACGATTAGGCGCCAAACGAATATAAAAGGAAAAAGCCAATTTAGTTTTAGTACCCAGCACATGTTTGCTCAGGTATTTTTATTCGTTTAAAATGCTCTCGAACAACATCTTAATCATTGCGATACGATGCTACAAGTACAAAAGTAGATGGTAATTACAAATACAGTTAAAGCTCGATTATCCGAACCTATAACATCTAGATATTAACCGCACCTGGCCTGGGTTCAAGCCCTGGTCAAAGCAACATCGCAAAAGAAATTTAGAAGAAGGGGCAAACTTCCGAGTGTATTTCTGCCATAACAGCTTCTCATAAAAATACAATCGCCGTTCGGAGTCGGCGTAAAAACTGTAGGTCCCTCCGCTTTGTGTGACGCCACAAGTCGGTGGAGAAGCTCGGCCATACACTAACATATGTGTAAGCGCCAAACTATTATTATTATCTAGATATTAACCGTGACGCTGAATGATTGTTTTATGATTCTATTATCCGTGATTTACCTCTACATATTATCCGCAATGCATGTGTTCGTTTATTTTTCGTACAGTTCGGGGATATCTTTCTTGCGTAATTAGTTGCATACCAAATTTCATCTCCATTCATTCGAAGTTAAACTGTATTTTTACTAGCACTAAAGAAAATATCGCAGTGATCCAAAATGGTTACGAAAAGCCACCGATCACTTAAAGTGTTGGCTGCGAAATTTTTTACCTACATCGGTTGGGTACAAGATCACATTAATAATATTGGAAATCGGAAAGCTAAAGCAAATAGATCATCACTACACTCCTCTCTCTGTTTTGTAGGCCAGTGATGCACCAGGTATTCCTTTACAAAACTTAAGATGTTTTAATAATGCAAAATCTCTGCAATTTCGGATCAGAGGGTACAGTTTAAATTCACTGGCAATTTTAACCCGCATCTAAGGGCACTGACTGATTGAGGGTGCTGAAAGCACAATTCAGGTCGTACTAGATGAATGGCGCTCGAAAGGAATTCGAATAGTTTAAAATCGGAAGCATATAAAAATGTTTCATAGTATGTTCTAAGTAAAAAAGTATGTATGTATGTTATTTTAAAATATAGTGAAAGAGACAGCGAAAGATATGCAACGGTATTTCAAAGCTGGAGTGGAGAATTCAGGAAAAATAGTATCATTGGATTAACTTTTAAACACCTTTTTTTTGCTATTCTTGCGTCATGGAATCAATTTCCATATTCACAAGAATGGCAAAATATATTTTGATGTTGTTCCTTACATTTATTGCACGCTGTTTTCAGTTAAAAAAAAATCGAAAATGTTTCCTTTGAAGCTCGCTTTTATGGTAACAAAAAAAAAAAAACTTTATTCAAAATGAAAATTACAAAGTAATTTATTGATTTTTTTTTTTACCTAGAAACAGGATGTAATGAACTTTAAAAAAGTTTGAATGTGTTTTTTGATGCTTGCGACCAGAGAAGCAGGTTCTTTGAAGCAGGAAAAAACAAATATCTAAAATAATAAGCATTGGGTATAAAATACAAGTACTGAGTAATTTTAAGGGATGCATATCTCTTTGAACACATACACAGGTACATACATACATATGCATTTATGTATATACATAAGTACATAAATAAACAAATGAGTCTTAGCAAGTACCTATATACACATACTTATTTATATATATACTCAGCAGGGAAATCATATACTCATGTAACAAATTTTTGAACAAATACACGTGATTAGGGACATAATAATAATAGTTAATAATAGATTGGCGCTTACACAATATATTATGGCGTTTCGTTTCTACAAAAAATTGTGCCTTCTCATTGCCCTCTTCTTAGTATTTATGCGTAGAACACAAAGACAAGGTACCGAAAACGGCATTAGGATTTGGCCGAGCTTCTCCTCCGATTTGTGGCGTGCGCCTTGAAGTGCGATTGTATTTTTAGGGAAGCTATTTGCATGGCAGAAATACACTCGGAGGTTTGCCACTGCCTGCCGAGGGGCGACCGCTATCAGAAAAACCTTTTTTGTTTTTTATTTGTAGATGTTATGCACACTGAGCAAAATCTATATTTTTCTATCGCAAAACTCTGTTTTTTTTTTCATTCATTGTTTCATTTTTTCATCGCAACTATAATTTATAGGTCCGCCAAAAACCCATAAAAACCCCGAAAAATGCAATGGGCGGCCCAATAAAAAATCGTTAGTTTTAAAAAAAGCGTTGAATAAACAATTGGGTACTATTATTGAAAGTCTCTTGAAGAGAACCAGAGTTTTCCGATCAAAAAATATTGATATTCAAGAATTCCATATCATTTCTACGAAACGTTTCTTCCCCATATAAAATACATGGTGAATTTTGAGCGCTTTGAGCGACCTCTAAATGTTTTTTGATTTAAAACAAAAAAAAAATATAGGGGTATACTTTTTTCGATACAGAACAATCCTAGGGGGTGAGAGCATTACAATTCCGACTTTACTGTTTTTGAACCACCCTAACGCACATACATATGAACATATAATTTGCATATAAATATTATACATATGTATGCAGCAAGAAGCACTGAGTTTACAAATATCAGTAACGAATGAAATTATTATTTATTTATATTCATAAACTCTCGGTATATGTTTACCTACATTTCTTTAAATCGTTTGCAATCAAAAACTATCGTATGTATTTACATACATGTGTAAGTATGGGTATAGGACCAAGATAAAAAGTGCCACATAATTGTTCGCATGAATAAAAGGTTCTACATCAAGTCGAATTTAAACCAGTTTCAATTAATTCGTGCAACATTAACAACTAAACTGGAATAGCAATGTTGAATAAGATAATACCTTTTTTTGGCGATTCTATCAGGATGTACCTATGTACATTCATGTACACTCAATATTGGCGGACCGTCGCCCTTATTTACAAAGGATTTTGGATCTAAAACTATAGTTTTCAAAGCACATGGAAACATATTGGTATTTGAAAACGGTGAAACTATTCAGGCTTACTGTGCCAACGGAATAATTGTGGAGAGGTGCGATTTTTACATTTACAAACTAAATAGTGTAAAACATGTTTGAATTCTCAGGGATTACTATGGTAATCTTTCCCCAAAAGAACGTACGGCAACGTTCTTATGTGAAGGGACTTCAATTCGGGTTTCAGGAAGTGTCCAAAGTAATTTAAAAGTTTTTTGCTCACCTGAGCCAACTCTAAGTCTTTACGAAAGCAGCAGAGAATTACAAAAATGTACATCTTTTATGAGCTATGCACTCGGTGTTAAGCTTCCAGCCGTTGGTGATATCACCAAAGCTGCCGTCTGTTATGACCTGGAAAGGCTAACATTGAAATTCGTCACCTATATTGCGGACCATAAAAAAGTTTTGATAACAAATAAGGTAAGATTAGTTTGAATGCATCGGTTTAACAGCGTCTCATTGAATTTATTTCAAAGCTAAAAACTGTGAGCGAATTGCCTGTGAATTTGGCTGAAAAAGTCAATGGCTTGAAAAACTATTTCAATTTCATAGAGTAAGTAATTTTGCCTTTAAACTGAATGCATGCAAATATCTACGTTTATTTACCCAATAAACATTTTGGCAAACGTTCGAAAATGACCTTCGATATCCAATATGAATATCGAACAGAGAGCCAACTCATAACCAATCTCAGTTTTCCAACGTTCATAGTATATTGGAATTACACTGAGATGGGTTCGAAAAAAAAATGGTAACCATAGTAACAAGAGGGAAAGTGAAATCCAGCTCATTCTTGAAGGGAAATATAAGATAATCACTCTCTCTCATTAAAATTATAAGTCGATAATGGGCTGGATTTCGAATTCATAACGAAAGAAAAATACAATGGCCTAGTTCTCGAACCGAATACTAACCTATTTCACATTCGTTATCGAAGGTGAGACTCGAAAAAAAAATGTAGGTTTTCCAATCATTTTCGAATTGTTAACCAAGCCGAATGTTTATTGGGTACTGACATATTTACATACATACATTCATATTTTCATATTTTTCTTACTGAAATTTCTAACGTCATAAGTATTATGTATGTATGTAGGTATGTTACTGTAATGAGGTAATTAAAAAATTATATATATTTTCGTAGTCAAAAATCGTTGGAAATATCACAAGAACTTGAGAAGTTCCCCTTCAATTCAAATGAATTTCACTTCTCGAGCTTATTGCAAAGCGAACCGCTGAATGATGAACTCAAAGACTATGCCTATCTCTTCAACACAATGTGGTGGCGCCAATTGCGTCAGGAGAACTGGCGCTACTTTCTCGATGCACTGCGCGAACGCACGCTGTCTGCCAAATATCAAGTTTT